AAATTCTTAGTCTGAAAATGTGTTGAAGTCTAAAATAGGCCTTGTGATCATGTTGTTGTATAGTTAAAAAAATAATAAGGCTCTTTCTCATCTCTTATATCACAATTTTGTTTCTGTTTAGTTTAAAATACCCAAATTTTGTCCAAACAGCATAAAACCAGCTTTAGGCTTAAATAAAAGACCCAGCAGTTTGTGTAGTTATATTTATATTAATATTGAAGGTGAAAAAAGAAGTAACCATAAAGATAATTTCAGTAAACTAGCATTTTAGCTCTCATAATAAGGACATCAAAGTCACAAGATTGTGGCCACAAATTAATTATTTTCCACAAAAGTCAGCTGGTGCTGAGAAAAAATCATATTAACTTAAATTTTAAATTCTCGTGCACATCATTTTAACAAACTCTGCAAGGATTCTGCCATCATTAATAACGCCACTATACGGGATTATTTGTTTTGTCTCATGTCCTGTTGGCGCAGAAAAGAGACCATGTGACACGGACACAGAGCTGGATTTATACTGCCATCTAGTGACCAGAAACTGTGTTGCAGGTTTGGTTCCAGCAGTTTGGTTGGTTACATACCTCGTCAAACCAAATCTTACCGTCTGAGTTCGTTTATTGCCATACAGTTACAGTTAATAAAGCAGAGAATGAAAATATAATGAAAATAAAACTATTTCTACACCACAAAAGTAAAATTTGATTGAGAAATTCGCCCCAGATCTACAAATATCTTATGCGGAGCCAATATGAAGGGTATCTGCTTTTTATATATTTATCAAACAGCTGCAAGATTAAATTAAAAAATATATTTAAAAAGTGACCAATGCACATATGGTTAGTTGAAGGTTATGAACATGTGCAAAATGAAGCTGATGAGTGTGATATGTAAAGAATTAGACATAGAAAGCAATTAAAATGCTTAAGTATAAAAATTAACACAATAGAGATAAGTCTTTCTAAAAGCTAAAATGCTGACTTGGCCTAATCTTTTACCCAACTAGAACACAATGTTTTTAGTTACATTGTGTTTTATGATGACGAATGAAAGACGCTAAAATTACATGGCAGAACGTACATTTTCATAGAAATTCATATCTGTGGGTTTTATTCAGTTCCAAAAACTTGACAGAATGCCAAGAGATAAAGTTTTATAAATATGTTCTTAACACCGCATTGGTTTATCAGTAGTCTGTCTTTTATGAGTACAAATAAACAATAATGAAATGTAAAACCTAGGGGAAAAAACTCTGAAAGATCTGCAGAAGTCTGTAGGAAATTCTTGTTCATCTACAACAAGAAAGTGAAATACTGGACCATGACCCAATGAGTATAGTTTCCATATTAAAGCATTGAGGTGGAGACTTTATGTTTTGAGGTTGTTTTTCTGGATGAAGAACAACTTCAGCGCATCTAGAAGCTAATGAACGGGATTGTGCATCATGAAATGGACAGGATCTTTCATCTCCAGGCCAGACAGTTGAAGGAGGTTCATCAGTGTGTCAGAAAAATGCAGCTTTAGTCCAGTTCAGACTGGACTGAATATGAAATTGCTCAATCTTTAAAAAATAATAGGTAGGGGGTTTGAAGCCTTGACTTGTCCAGCAGTAGCCAGGAAACGTGAAGGCTTTCCATAATGCCGTGTAGCAAACCTGGAGCTCAAATACAAGAAACATCTTAAAGTCGCAGTTATGCAACTTATATACAAAACATATTTTGCATATTTGTTGAAACTGTCACCATGTAACTACAGCATGATATGAGATAAATATTCTAGGAAAAAAACCCAACTCCTCCGTCTTCTCCCATTGCTGTCTGGTACGCTACAGCTAGCTAGCATGTTGTGAATGCTAATGCTAGTTAGCATGACCACCAATAACGGCGGATAAACTGTTTCACTGTAACGGTAAGTTATTCCTCAGCCATGTTGCACATTTAGCAGCATTGATAGCCAAGACCCTCCTAATGACTCTGATTGGTTGTTTTGGGTGGCGAATTTCAAGGAGGAGATCGATATTTTCACAGATTATCTGTCTCATAACAAACACTGTCAAGACTTGGTGACAGATTTGTTAAATAAGATGTAAAAACATACTGGAGCTGAAATGCTCGGATCGCTAACAATCATCTGTCAAGCTACGTTTGCTGGGGACGACATATTTCACTTGATAACTTATTTTTTACTTTTATGTATGTGACTTTTTTTTTGTTGTATTTTTGGTTGAATTCTGATCGATTATAATCTCACGCCACAGCTCCGTCTGGGCTTTCTCCAATTCAAGTGGATTAACACTGTTTGTAAGTGAGAAAACTTATAGAATCTTATAGAATATTTCAGCCTTGTAAGCTGTATCAAGTAAGGAAATCATGCACAGAATAAAACACAATTCCTGAATGAAGTACTTTGTTGTTTTTATTTTTGTATAAAAACTTTTGTCTTTCCACTTTAGGCAACAAGTAGCATGAGAGTCCCGTTCTCACAGCTTTTAGGTGAAGTCATCAGTCTTCTCAACAATCGCTCTCCCCTTTCATACAGTTAAACACACAAACACAGAGAGCGCTAGAGTTAATTTGGTACAGCAGTGGTCCCAAACCTAAATCTATTAGCAGAAAGCCAAAGACAAAAGCTCAACAATACTCAGCCTGCAATCATAATTACTTCAAACATGGTATTATGTCAAGGCAAGTCACGCGAGCACAGAAGAGCCACGATAAATCTGCAGCCTCACAACAACTACAGGAGACTGCTTTGTTAAAAGACTGATGGATGACGCGTCGTTTAATTAGGTCTGAAACCACTGCCTTGTTGCAGCTCTTATACAGGATTATATAAAGACAATACAAAAGGTTAAAGAAACACATCAGACAGCTTATACACAGCAGCACATCCTGTGTTAGGCGAGCCGTTGCCCAAAGCAACTGTGGGAATTTCAGGCACCAGAACAAAGGACTGATTTTGTGTAAGAGCTGCCGGCTTACTTCTGCAGCTCCGTGTTCTTCAGACAGAGCTTAAAGAAAAGAAACCCCAAAAAATAAAAAATAAAGTTACACGACTCCGTTTACACACTTGTTGACAAAAAAAAAAAAACGCCTCATCTTACCGTCAGCACATTTAAAATTTGCAGTTCGGGAGCTATTGCATTTCTACAGGAGGCTGTCCAGTACTTTTAGTTCAGGATCAATCAGCGAGAAACATCTCCATGAAATCATTCCTCCTACCGGTTCACAAGTTGTAAATCTATAACATCAGCACCTTTTAGGTTTAAAATACGCATTCGTACTAAAGTTCCAGGTCGGTCTAATACAGTCTAGATAACATCCACGCATGCATGCACACAGATTTAAACGCAACTTTCTCACCGACATGGACGTACGACAGTAAAGTAGGTTAATACACAAACACATTTCACACACACGAAATCAAGCTGTAAGTCTGATTCATAAATTATTAACATCACATTGATTGGTGTAAGTACTTTTAGCTGCACATGTTGCAGATTACAATTAACTCAAATGCTTGTTTTTTATTTTTGAAGTGCCCTGTAAACGTATTTATACCCCTTGAACTTTTTCATGTTTTGTCATGTTGCATGCTTTTGAATTCACACTGATACCCCTAAATAAAATCCAGTGCAATCAACTAGCCTCAGAAATCAACTGATGACTTCTGAAACAATTAATAAAATTATCGTCAACTAATTTAGTAATCGATTAATCGTCAATTGGAGTATATAGACTCAAAGAAAGGCTGTTTGCTGAAAAAACTGCATATTTAGAGCACTAATTAACTGCATGAAAAATATTTACATTTAAGATAAAAACGCCTTAAGATGCTAGAATGTTTTAGCCATAGTGACATAGTTTCAGATTCACAAAAGGAATGCTCTTTTATTGCCTCTTAGGCAATAAAATTTTTATTTTCTTATTTTAAATAGGGATTGATTTCCTTATATTCATACTTTACTGTATATTTAACATTGTATATAAAAAAGTATTAAGTGTAGGGCTGTTGTAAATTTTAGTAATCGAGTAATCATATAGAAAATTTTAACAAATAAAATAAATATTGTAAATACTGCCATAACAGTGGTGTTCATATTAGAAATCAATATTAGCCAAACGTTTCATATCCATGCATCTCTAAATCACTTTTCTGTAGATTTTCTGAGCTATTTTTGTTAAACTGTAACAATAATAGCTCACTTTTTAAGTCAAGTGGGGCAAAAAAAAAATAAATTAGAAATTATATTAAATTTAGTAATAAAAATAAGAAAACAGCAGGTCACCCTTTGTTATGCTAATAGCGCTTAGCATTCATCAACAACAGAGCATTGCGCAACACAAATAATCATCATGGTGCTAAATATTACAACATATTTTAACGAAGTTTGAGGCAGATAATTTGCCTTGAGGAATTTTAACAATCAAGGTACTTCAATCATTTGACAAATCGTTACAGCCCTACTAAGTGTTTAAATAAAAAATCTGTAGAATGTGTCAATTTTCTTTATGCGATTAATTGACTAATCATCACAGAAGTTGCAAGAATAATCAATTATTAAAATAATCATAAGTTGCAGCCCGACTAAGTATGTATTTACTTGTGTGCAACATAATCCCAGTATTACGTTGCACCTCCAGATGCAAAATAATTTAGATTAAAATGGAGGTTCACTTTCCAGCGGGATTATGAGTTTAAATATTCAACCAGTGATTCAGTAGAATGCTTACATTTATAGCATATATTGATGTGTTAGAATGGCCTAGTGAAAGTCCAGACTTTATTCCTACTGAGAATCTGTGGCGCAAGTTCTCCATCCAATCTGAGCTTGTTATAATTTTAGTCAGAAAATACAAAAGCACTCCACACTTTTCAGATTCATATCTGTAAAACAAAATCCTAAAACCTACGTATCTTTTTTTTTTTGTTAGTCCACCACACAAAACCCCAATAAAATTTACCTAAATTTGTGGTTGTAACGTGAACTTTTTTTTAAATTTTTTTTGAAGGTTCCAGAGGAACAAATTAATTTCCAAGGCACTAATTTGGCTCGATTTATAATCAACGCTTCTTTACACAAAAAACAAGCATTGAATTGACTAAGAAGTTCTGTTCTGGCATTTTATCACAACATCTGACTGATTATGGAGTAACAATGTGGCACTGTGAAAGAAGAACCGTTTCCTTTCATTCCCAAACAGACTGCAAGGACTGAACAGCATCTAATTCACAAAAGACACATTAATTCAAGAAATAATGTCAGTAAATTAGCTATAAGTGACTATAAGTGACCTTTTCTTCTCGTCCCTTTGACTGCAATTGTGCCGGCAGTCTGAAAGTAAGCAATAGTAACAACTAAGGCCAGCGCTAATCTGCTGCCGCCTTGGTTCTTCCTTCATATCTCCGAGCGGCGAAGCTGGTGCTGCTTTCACTTCACAATGTGCACACAGACCAAAGAAATCAGCAGCTCTCCAGCATGTCGCGAATGTGGCGTGTACAGCACGCAAAAAAGAAAACAAGTATTTCCAGGATCATTCGGTGTAGTTAGCAGAGGGAGCGATCGGACGCCTTCGTTTGGCTCGACTACAGCATCAGGTTTGCTGTGGCGGAAAAAGAGCCGGCAGGTACGCCGGCATCTTGCACACGATTAGCAGTTTGTGTTCAGCGTTGATAGCTTTATACATCAAGCAAACAAAAAGGCTTCAGTCAGCGTTTGCACTCTGTGTTTCTGGAGCCGAGTTAATGGTTTCCAAATAAGGCCGCATTCATCACTCCCAGCAGAATCCCCTCTAAGGTTGACTTTATGTAACTGCATTCTCGCGCTACGCCATGGGAGTGATCTTGATGTGCTTCCAGCATCTCTGCTCCTGTTTTCTGACGCACTTAGAAACTTAATGTTACTCACTAGAAAGCTACGTTCACACTGCAGCCCTTAATGCTCAAATCAAATGTTTTAATGACATTTTGTTGCTGTTGTGGTTGTTCACATTTCCAAGTACATGCGATTTGTATGCGATTTCCTGCGAGAACTACAAATGACCAGACAGTGTGCGGCATGCGCAGTAGAGGACGCAGTAATGAAGCAGTGAGCGCGCTCACTAGTTGCATTTATATTTACCTAAATAAATAATTTAGAAAACAACTCGATAAGAAAATCTTTTTGTGCTAAGATGAAGTAGTTTTTTGGCTGCATCAAAATTAGTGTATTTGTAAAAAATTGCAACTCTTTTCTTTGCATCACGAGTTGCAACCGAATCCGGATGCCATGGTAATACTGTGCAGCTATTGCCATTTATCTGAAAACTGCTTAAACTGGAATTATGAAAATAAATTTGCCAAGTATAAACATGCCAATTTAGAAAAAAAACTCACATTTTTTGATAAAGTAGGTTTTGTTCTTGGATGAGGTGGATTTTCAGCTGCATCAAAGTTGGTGTATTTCGCAAAATTGCAAAGGAAACATGTTTTACTACTGGCAGAAACGATAAAAAAGACAACAGGAAGTGGAATGAGGATTATGTTTTTTAACGACTTATTGAGTGATTTTAACTGTACTTATTTAATGAAAACACAGTGAAACAATTGTGAAATTTGCTGTTTAGCGAAACATCAACAAAGTTTTACGTACATTTGCAATGAAAACTTAGCTAAAGTTTGCAAAAGTCAACATGAATGGCAAAATTGTCCAACTTTCTAACTTTCTCTTTATGGATAGCTCTCCGCTTTATCTTCCGCCATGCTGTTATTTTTCTTCCTTTTTCCAAATATCAATTGAGTATTAATTGCACTGGAGAGACGCAGGTCACATTTGAAAAGATTAGATATGGACCGGATTTAGGAAGATATGCAAGTGTAAAAATTGGATCAGATCAGAAAAAAATCAGATTTGAGAAACTTCAAGCTAGAGATGTAAATCTTTCAATGTCTCACAATTCAATTCCAATTCGATTTTTTATTCAGAAACCAATTTTTTCTATTTAAATATTCAAGAGATTCTGTTTAAATTATGTGACTGATGAGAAGAAAAGCGTGTAAACAAGTAAAACATTCATTTTCAACAATCCTATAAGGTTCCATACTCTATCAAGTTTCATCAGGTTATATTTAAATAAAAATAAGTCTGTGCATAAAATTATGTAACTTAAATTACCAGTATAAGGTTAGCTTAGCTGCCTGGCTTTTTTTTAAATAAGAAAAATATCAGAGGATTATTAAAAACACATTAGATGGCTGAGAGGACAGGTAATGCGATGCAACTTAAAATCGATTTCCAGAGCTGTGAATCGCGATTCTGGATAGAATAGTTTTTTTCTGCACCTTTGCTTCGGGCTGCAGTGTGAACGTAGCCTAAGACACCTGTAGATGTTGCGGATAGCAGTGATAAATGTGGAATATGTAGTATTTACTCATCTTAGATGAAGCTATTGTGCAAAATATCTGCAAAGACGCTAATGCTAAACTTCAGGAGGCAGTGGATCTGCTTCTTTCTCCGAGCCGGACTCTTCCTGGTTTTGCTCTTTTGGGACGTTGTTATCCGGACTTGAGGGACTCTTCTCCGCCTCCTCCTCCACATCTGTGCACAAGTTCATGGTGGTCAAACTGTCGCCCACAATCTGTCCGCTGGCGTTGACGTGACGCGCGTCCCCTTGGAAATCTCCAACTGCTTCCTGCTTCTTCTCTGTGAGCTTAGTTCCACCTGCGCTCTGCGAAGGCTCGCTCTGCGAAGGCTCGCTCTGCGAAGGCTCGCTCTGCGAAGGCTCGTCCTCTTCCTCAGCTGCAGGCAGCGTCTCGAAGGCGCCGGGCTCGATGGTGCTGAGCTGATAGTAGAGCAGAGAGTCTTTGAGGAGCTCCGACGGACTCTCCTCCTGGGAGTCAGAGATGCACAAGACGGTAGCGCCAGTCGGAAAAGGTCCCTGCAGGAGGATCTGATCAACACCCGGAGCTGCTTCTTCTTCTTCTCCTTGCTCAGGCAGGAGGCACAGAGGGTGTGACCCCGCGACCCCAGCAGAGCTCAGCTCCTGCTGCACCGCCTCCTCCCTCTCCCGCCTCTCCTGCTCTTCGGCGCTCTGCAGGTGCAGCACCGCCGTCTCGTTTTCCCGCTCCAGGATATCCTGCTCCACCGACTGCACCTCGCTCTCCTCCAGCTCCGAGTCCAGGCCGATGCCGGAGGACAAGGTCGGGGACGTGGGGCAAGTGGAGGAGGGCGAAGACAAGGGGTCGGACTCAGTGTACGGCTCCCCGGGTCCCGCGATCGGCGTCCGCCTCTTCTCCACGTCCAGCTTCATGATGGTGTGTAGGTAGTGTGTTCGGACACGCAGGGGGTTGAACTCGATGCGACCCGCAGCGTTGCCGCAGCCGTCCCTGGAGCAGCCGCATGGAAAAGACATGCGATCCACCTGAAGAACAAAACACACCCGTCTCAACACTTCAACTCCAGAAACTTAAACATGAACAGGTTAGGATTGGTCTATCCACAGAAAACATGTTCATTACATTTTTTTGCACAAAATTATTCTTAGAAAATCAGATTTTAGTTTGCTCAGTTCTGCCTGAACTGAGCAAACTGCAAACTGCTGATCTGCTTCCAGAAAGAGCTGCTGTCTCTTTAAATCCAAGTAAGCTGCTGCTGGCCACGCCCCTAATCTCAAGATTTACACTGTAAAACTGCTGAGTTCCTTTAAATCAAAAAACCTACCTGTTTTGATTTGCTTTTGAACCATAATAAATGAAGCACTGACCAACATATTTGATTTTTTTTCTGATTTCAACAATAACATTTCACAAAAAACAGTGTCTGTTAATTGTTTTCACAGCTGTTGACTGTACAATGTTTTTATGACGTTGATGATTTCAAATAAACTCGATTGAAACTTGCTTGATATATATTCTCTTGCTGGAAAGGCCTACAAACAACTGTACATCTTTGAAAAGCATTCATACAGCCTCCTGCATAACTAACTAGAATGCAGCAAATGGTTTCTGGATGGTAAGTCACCGGCAACACATTTGTCTTTTCCAGCAGCCATTGTACAGTGCATACAGCAGTAACACCAGCTGGAGATCTGGTTGGGCTGCTAGGTAATGGTGCTTGGCTGGGGTAGTCGCTTTTGTAACAGCTAATTTTCCAGACACCAAAAAACTCTAACTTGTTGCCAAAAACGGCTGGATGTATTTCACTTTTAAGCACCCGGGCTGTTTTTAGAAGCAGTAGAGACCCAAATAAAAGTATAAAAACGTGCAAAATATGAACTTTGCATTGGATTTTCCTTCCTTTCAGTAAGTCTTCCAGGCCTTACCTGGCACTTAATGCCAGCCTGGCTGCAGCCGCAGTGGCGAGGGTCACAGAACAGGCGGCAGTCACAGCCACATTCCTCCCTGGAGAGGCGGATGGCTCTCAGTTCGGTTTTCTCCCGTGCGTCGATGCGCGCGATGCCGGAGGCTCGCAGCAGGGCTCGGCGGCGCTTCGTCGGCAGAGGCTGCAGGAAAAAACAGTCGTCCACCTCCACGGCGTCCACGTCGAGGTCCTCGTCGGAGACGTCCTCCAGAGTCAGCAGGTCCGCCTGAGCGCACTCCACCGTGCCGTTCCTCGTCAGCTGCGGGAGGGAAAGTGGAGCCGTGAAGAGGCCGCAGCTTCAGTCACAACTGATTTCCACTAGAAGGAAAATCCCAACGGCTTCGCAAAAGCACATCTTTAAAAGTGACAAACTTTACAAGGTTACTTTTATTTGGAGATCAGGCTAAAGAACCCCGTTTTCCTTTAGGTCTTTTCTTAAAAGGAATAAAGCAGAAAACGCAGATAGAAACCTTTATTCCTTTGGGACAATTCAAATTTCTTTTAAGACAAAAACAGAAATGTTTTTATGAAACGCTCTCTTGTTTCTCATTTCCTTCAATAAAAAATGAAGGATATGAAATAATATTTATATTGACGGATCAAAGAATATGCCTTTCTCTTATTTCTATTAAAAATATGCATCTAATTGAATTCAGTGAGTTGACAGATTTAAAGATTAAAAACAAACGGGACTTCTCATTTATGATGCATTTCACAAATAGAAAGAAAGAAATCAAATATTTACTGCTTTTAATTTCTTCTCTTTTTATAATATGTTATAATATGAACACATTTGCATTTTGCCAACTCAATATACACAAATTTCTACACTTCTAATCCACAACTACTAAAAAATAACTTAATTTAGGGTTAGGACTAAGCTAAAGCATTTATGCTGCTAATTCAGATGTGTGAATTGAATTGTTTAATGATTTTTTGAGTTAAAAATACAAAATACACTTGAATAAAGTTGAAAGAGTTTCTGAAATCCCCAGAGGCCAGCCGCCCTTTTGAGAGCTTGTGTTGCGGTTCAGCCTGTAGCAGCCGAGCTGATGACATCACATGCAACCTCAGTGAGTAACACAGGTGAGAGGTTTCTGCACTCCTGTGGTTATGCAGCTGAATTTTAAACAGGGAGAGAAAAACAGTAGCAGAAAACTCTTTAAATAATGCAAAAACCAAAAAAAAAATTTGAGAATAATCTGGAGGATATCCAAAGACGGACACTGCATTATTAAAGTTGTTGCAATATTCTGCAAATAAATATTAGTTCTGGAGATATTTGGTTCAAAATGTAGCAAAGATGGACATGGAATCAGTGTTTTTTCACAAATATCAGAAAATATTAAATTATTCAGAGGTAAACTGAGAAGATTAAACGTATTCCAGTTTTTTGTTTAAAGAAAAAATAAGTAAATCAATAAAAACTTTTACATTCTTGAAGACATTTTTCCAATTTTTTGCAGATAGATATTTATGTATGTGAGAAACATGAATGAAAATGTCACACAAGTGTTAAATACTTTTAAATATTTTTAAATGTATAATATTCATATGTGTTTCAATACATTAAAAAATAGTAAGTTGTAAAATTATTAATTGAAACTTTAGTTCAATAAATGTACTCAAACACACATTTATTTCAGTATTTTGTGAATAATTTCTTATTATTCATATTTTCCTTATTTAAACCATTGAAATAAAGAAAATTATATAGGAGCTTGTAAATATAATCGTTTTCACATTTATTTTTTAACTAGGTATTTCATAAATTATGGAGATAGTTAAGTAATAATATATTTTTAAAATTTCACAGATATTTCTAGATTTATATTGAATTCTATGATTTTTATTCAGATTTTCTATGCATTTAAATTTGCATGATGAAAAAACATTGAAATGTGGAAAAAAGGAATAAAATTACATCTTTAAGGGGCGATTACTTTTTAACAGTGTTATCATGAAGATAGCATCAGAATCAGCTTACCTGTTAGTGGTCATGATGTTTTGCCTGATTGGTGCATGTTTGTTAATAATCTTACCATAAATGTTTTTAATGAATGCAGAGAAGATGCGCTGCGGTCTCTCTGTGGACGTACCTTCATCTTGCGAGCGTTGAGCTTCTCCTGACGCAGGTGCTGGCGCAGCGTGTGTCTGTGGCTGCTCTCCTGCTCGCGTGCGAACTCGCCCAGCGTGTAGTGTCTGATGGAGGAGTGGTGCCGCGCCATGCCCAGGGAGCTGCCCCCCTGGCTGGGCACGCTGGTGAAACCCTGCCGCCGGGGGAAGTAGTACACCGTCACCACATCGAAGCGAACCCGCTTCCCCCCCGGCGACGGCTTGTGCTGTCTGAGGATGGAGGTGGCTGATGACAGAGAAACAAAGAGTTGGAGCTGAGTGTCTCTGTTGTGCTTCCTTAAACAGGCTAAGGTAGGTATGTGGGTTATACACAACATGATTATTACTTTTTTTTTTTTTTTTTTTTTCTCAAAATTATTCTTAAATAGAGTTTTTAGTCTGGTCAGTTCTGAATATTTTGAGCTGTTTTAGGGCTGCTGTCACTTTAAATCCAAATTAGCTGCCGCTGGCCACACCCCCCAACTCAACTTTTACAGTCACACATAAAAATGGCTGCAAACATACAACTGTACATGTCTGAAAAACATTTGAAAAGCAGATTTCTGCTGGGTTTCCAGCAGAAATCCATAGACCAAATGTGCTGGAACTCTGCCTGGGTTGCTAGGTAACGGGGCGGGGCTTGGCTGTCGTTGCTAGGTAACGGCACAGTGCCTGTCAAAAGTAACTCAACAGTTTTTATCATTTTACAGAAACCAAAAAAGGTAAACTTATTGCCAAAAAAACCAATTTATTTTTTGGGCTGTTTTTAAAAGCAGTTGAGACCCAAATTTTTATTTTCTTTTTCCAATGAACGCATGCTTTGAAAACATTGTACTTTATTTAAAACTCAAAAGGCCCAAATCAGATGAGTTTTGTTATTTTTTTTTTTTTTTCTGAACATAAACAATGTCCCAGGTGTGTTGGTGTTTCTTTTTTCCACGTCTGCTGCTGCTTACGAGTGAACGGGGTGCTGGAAGGCGGGTTGAGGCTGTCGCAGCTGTCTGCGCTGTCACTGCTGGAGATGTCATCGTCCGAGTCCTTAGGTGTAGAGAACAGAGAGCCGCTGTCCACCTCTTCATATCTTCGTTTGAGGCTTAGGGACGGACCTGCCTCCATGGAAACCTGCTATCTGAGGGCACAGTCGGGGCAACAAAAGCCGCTATGTTTAAATGCATGTTAAATCCGTTAATAAGGGAACTTTCTCTGCATGTTTCAGGACTAAATGTTTCTGTTTCTGCTCTGACGACATGGAAACAAACAGCACATCTGCCTCCTTTCATCTGTATTCCACCTCCATCATTTCATCTGTCTGCTGCCGCCGCTGCTCCATCCTGAACATCGCACATTAAATCCCATTCTGAAATTATCAAGTGTAGAGCTGTAACCATGGCAACTGGGCAAGCGCAGTTCACGCGAAGAGCCTTGAAGCGAGCGGTCTCTATGGCGTTAACCAACCTGAATCCGTCTCAGGCAGCCACAAGGTGAAATTTATCACATCTGCAGCTTTAATCAAAGTGAACTGAAGCACCTTAAGCTGTGGCACAGATCCGAATGAAAACACGAGGCTTTGTCTGCAGACAGAACCACAAACTTAATGCAGCCGTGTAAGAAATCACAGTTACTGCATTAGTGATGTTCCAGCCAAAGCTCTGCATGTACGCACATACACCGATGGACGGCTGGACAGCCAGAAACTCAGATGAATAAATACATTCAGTGGTTGAGCCGGAAAAGGGTAGAGTGCCTTCTCCAGGTCAGGGGGGTGGTCCTGCCTCAAGTGGAGGAGTTTAAGTATCTGGGGATCTTGTTCACGAATGAGGGAAGAAGGGAGTGGGAGATGGACAGGCGGATTGGGGCAGCGTCTGCCGTGAAGCGGGCGCTGTACCGGTCCGTCGTGGTGAAGAGAGAGCTCAGTCAAAAAGCGAAGCTCTCGATTTACCGGTCGATCTACGTTCCCACCCTCATCTATGGTGACTGGGCTTTCCCTTAGAGATAGTGTGAGCAGCTCGGTCATCCGGGAGGGACTCAGAGTAGAGCCGCTGCTCCTCCACGTCGAGAGGAGCCAGTTGAGGTGGCTCGGGCATCTGGTCAGGATGCCTCCTGGATGCCTCCCTGGTGAGGTGTTCTGGGCACCTCCCACCAGGAGGAGGCCCCGAGGAAGACCCAGGACACGCTGGAGGGACTATGTCTCTCAGCTGGCCTGGGAACGCCTTGGGGTTCCCCCGGAGGAGCTGGAAGAAGTGGCTGGGGAAAGGGAAGTCTGGGCGTCCCTTCTGAAGCTGCTGCCCCCGCGACCCGACCCCGGATAAGAAGCAGAAAATGAATGGATGGATGGATGGATGGATGGATGGATGGATGGATGGATGGATGGATGGGTTAGATGAAGGACAGATGGATGAATAGACTGACCGACTGATGAAGCATTTTAGATTTTCATCAAGCGATGAAAGTGAAGTAGTTCCTTGAATTACTGCCAAATCAGAAGCTGCGACTCAGAAATCAACTTTAGCATTAAACTCTCTCAGGGTGCAACGATACATAGATTTTATGGCTCTTGGCAAAATGTAATGTTTTAATTGTTGGCTGTGTGGTGTTTTCTATGACTTTGTATTTTTACTATGCAACATTGGCTTGTTGCTGAAATGTGCTATACAAAAAAATCGATTGATTTTTACAGTGCAGACAGGAAAGGGGGCGATTTAGCTTGAGACCCCCTTTAAAAATGCTTACAGATAGTGGTGTAAGCATTTTTACATCCCTAAACAATAAACATAAGAAATGTTTATTGTTAAACATTTCTTATGATAAGAATTTTGATTGTCACGACTTTTGAAACTCAGGAAATGTCCAAAAGTTTAACATTTTTGACTTTTGAAACTCAGAAATTTCCTCATTTAGAGTGAAAAAATGTCTTACATTAATCTCAACATATCTTAGTTTTTGTCTAGCAAATTTTCACTTTTCCAAACTCAGAAGTTTCCACATTTTTTCTAGAAAATTTTCTAAGATTAATCTCAAAATTTCAGATTTTTTGTAGCAAATTTCTGACTTTCCAAACTCACAAATGTCCACATTTTTTTCTAGAAAATTTCTTAAATTAATTACAAAATTTTCAAGTTTTTGTCTAGCAATTTTTTTTTATAATTGAATAGAAAATAATAGAATAACATTTATTGCCCCTCTGGTGCATCAGCAGCAAAGTGACAGGCAAGTTGAAGTGTTTAGATTCACATGTAGATGAAAATATAAAAATAGACAGTAAGAATAAGAGACTAGACATTTAGGGCAAATTTACAGCATAAAAACACAATGCACTTGTAAAAAATAGCATACATATATTTAAAAAATGTCTAATAATTTTACAAAATGTGACTGCACATCTGTGCATAAAAGAATATTCACAAGAAATGTTAAAACTGTGCTTTGGTGGGATGTTAGCGTAGCTGAATAGATGTAAATCTACAACTTCTAGTGCGTGCAAGTCTGATACAAATGAACTCAATAATTTGCTTTTTTATCTCTCTTTTTACTAAAAACTGAATGGATAAAGTGCTTTGGTCACATCTCGCCCTTTAGTTTACAGATACTTCATAATTTATTTTAGTTGTTTTATTTATTTCAGATATTTAAAATGTCTTCCCTCTCAAGTGTTAGAATAGAATTTATTGACCTTTGAGATCTTTATTTTGCCATCATTACCATTTTATTACTTGAAAATGGTCTCAAAACAACAACATTATTATTTATCACATTAACTTCTGGGGCAATTTATCACCTATCGTGACAGGCCTATTCTTTAAAACACAGTTTGTGATCTGTTCTGGCTGCACAATATTAATAAATATTAATGCACCTCAAATGTTGCAATGACTAAAATGACTCCACCTCTCTCCTTATGAGCTTTAACATCTAAATCTCTGAAATCAGGTGTATCAAGGACAGTAACAGTCCATCAAGGTGACCAAATATGATACTGCCAAGCAGTTTAAATGGTTTTCCATCCTTTCTTTTTTGCATTATTGCACAGAAAGCCAATAAATTGTGCAGCTCTGCTACCTACCTATGCACACAAAGTAGATCACACTCATGCAAAACGATAAGAGGTGAATTTTATTAAAATCAGACGTGGAGTTTCTGTCACCGAAGCTGCTGCAGCTGCTGTGTGTTTCAGTCTAACCATGACTTGCAGAGTGGACATGATGTCAGTTTAAATGCATTGTAAAATCCTGAACACTATCAGCCTATAACAGCCAAATGCTCGGTCCTCCCTATCACCATTTAACCATCTCACCCCCCCTTTTTTTCCACTCCCTCTCTCCCTTTCACACACACGCACACACACACAAAGCCCACATTTAAGAGACACTGGACCTCCTTACCTGGGGCAGAAAGAGGGACCCTTAATCCAACAGCCTCGGAGGTCGTCTTTCTTTCCAATCTGAGCTGCACATCAATCTTTTATCGCGCAGTGAGACGCTTTTTATGTGCAAAACCCTCCAAAAAACAACCGATATCCCTGCAACAAAGTGATCTGGCTGATTGTCAATTTGCAATACTTCTCTGTCTCTTGCTAGCTGTATGAGGTTACATGGGTTGCAAGCTCATTGTTCTGCACGCCGAAAGATTACAGTTGCCTGACAGGAGCGACTGCTTTTATTTAAATGTGGCATACCTCTGTGTTTAAAGGACAGCCGAGAGGAAAAAAGGAAGAAAGAGGGGCGTCATTGGGTTATTTCCCAACATTTTTCGGTGCAGCATGAACAACGCACACAGCCGGATGTGCTATCTTCCCAATTTGAGGCTGAAAATTATTACAATGGAGAAATCCGCTGACATTTGTGCTCGTTTATCGCTTTTTTCTTTTCTTTTTTTTTTTTTTTTTTTTCCCCCCTTTCTGTTTCCTCACCGGGACCGGGTTCGGTCGGCTGGGCTCACTTCGCTGTCTTCTCGCTTTCTAAATTAAACAAGACAGGAGGAAAAAAAGACGCGGATTGGTTTGTTTCGTTTGGTGTCAGATTGTTGGAGATTTTCTAACGAGAAGACGCTTTTTTCCTCTCCACCCCGGTTCGCCCCGGCCCCGCTTGTTACAATGTAACAATGGAGGAAGAAATTCTTTCCTGCAGACGCATTTATACTCGCCATGACGTCATAAACTCGCCCTGGCGACAAGGCATGCTGGGAAGTGAAGTGTTTTACATTCATTTCGCAATCTCTTTGTTCGTTTCAACTTTTAACTTTATTTTATTTACAGGTACAGTAAGTACAGAGACGCAGATTTAGGCAGTTTTTTAAACTGCTTAAAGTGACATTATTTGTCTCCTTTGGATTATTTAGCCTGTCATAATTTAAAAAAATAAATAAAAATGAAAAGAAACGAATCGGGGTTCGTGTTTCAAACTTATCATTTATAAAGTTAAGTATTTGGTTTACAAAACCAGAAATTACCAAACAAACTTAACGTCTAAATATTTAGTTCCCAACAAAATATTTATCTACAAGCAGTAGTTAGCAAGCTAAATGTTTAGAATGCTAACTAAATATTTCGTTTGCCAACTATTTATTTCCCAGCAAAAATATTTAGTTATAAGCTAAATATTTAGTTAGCGATTTAAATGTCTGGCTATTTAGTATGCTAACTAAATATTTAGCTTCACATAAAATGTTTAGTTTGAAGCAAATTTACTGCATATAAGTGGACAACCAAAATAAAAATTGTCTTGCTAACCTCCACATAAAGTCCCGACTCGTGCTACAATTTTGTCATTGCTAAATATTTAGTTAGCAAATAAAACATTTAGCATGCTTTCTCAATATTTAGATTAAAGCTAAATGCAAATAGCTTTAATCTAGATTAGCTATTTAATCTAAATATATTAAATTTGAAGCTACATATTAAACTGAACCGGACTAAACACAAAACGTTTACGTACTAAATATAATAGTTTGGAGCTAAATAATTAGCTTGAGAGTTAAATATTTAGCTCGCTATCTAAATATTAAGACTTAGAACTAAATAGTTTGAAGCTGAATATTAAGATATGTAAATTTACTACCAAAATAAAAAGTTGGTATTGCTAACTTCTATTCACGAGTTGTTGATCATGTCAATTTTCATCATTGCTAATTAGCAAACTAAACATTTAGCATGCTTACTAAATATTTAGTTTAAAACAGTTATTGTGTAAGGTAATTTGCCTCAAACTAAATATTTATGTTTACTGAGTAAATGTAATAGTTTTCTAACTAAATATTTAGCTTCAAGCTACTTAAGACTTTAGTTTAGTTCTAAATATAAATGCTAACGACAGATTAATGTCACGACACACGGATCACGAACATGAGAACATCCTCCGTAAGGTGTCCAGTCTCAGCCTCCATCATCCAGACGGAGAACTAGGCAAAGCTGCTGCTGCAAAGCATTATGGGAAAACCACAAGTTTGGCTGTGAATCTTCTAAAGATGTCTTCTGAATGCCTCCTTTTGCACATCAAATTGGAAAAAGAATCTCACTAAAGAGATTGCACTGCAAAAACACAAAATTTTACCATGCATTATTGGTCTATAATTAACCTGCCAGTGAAACTAGTAGTTTATCATAACTACTAAAAAAATAATTGATTTAAAATAAGCTCCTCGGTTAGATTGATCTTATTTCAAGTGTATTTGCACTTCAAACTACACCACAAATACTTGGTAAGATTTTGCACTTGAATGTTTTCTCAAAATCACGAAACAAGACAGTTGTCAGTACATTAGTAATCATTTTTAATAACGCTGATGAGACGGAGCAAAAACTGACATCTAAAAAATATCAAGTCAAAACTTGAACGTACGAAGGGTTGAGTTTTCCCATGGCTACATGAAGCAGTTACGTTTAAAAGCATTTGGAATTGGCAATGTCTAAAATAAGGAAAAATAAAACAATAAAAAGATGCAAATATGATGAGGATTATTTTTAAAATACTGGGAGGCATAATTCATTATGAAAAAGCACCTTAAAACAACAAATTACCACTTGGAAAATTATGCTGGGGTAAATTAGCTGACTGGTATGAAAAGCTTGTGAAGACACTTGGTTAGTGTTGCCATGGTGACCACTGATAATAAACAGAGTCTGTCAACTTTCAAGATGCTCCAGGGACACAACCTGTGAAGCTGCATCCGTTTAGCATTATTATTATTATTATCATTATTTTTTAATCAGGACTGCCAAGTCCCAGCAGCTTCCCTCGACGACCTGGTTGCAGTTTTAGGTGGGATTGTTGTAGCAACGCTGTGTTTCCTAGAAATGTAAGGCAACTGAGCACCAGACAGCAAAACAACTGTTTACAAACCTCAACGCAAACATTTTCCTGAACCATGAAGGACACAGAATGAAACAGTAGATGTGAGACGACTACTTCACTTCCTGAAAGGAAGGACGTTAAGGTATGGCGAGGGGGAAGAGAGCGAAAGGTGCTTCGGTTGCACCGACCTCCCAGCTGCCACAGCTAATTAGTCAGGAGAACCTCATCTGATCCGAAAACAGCAAGGTGTGTGAATGTCTGTTGTGGCAGACGGCAGCAGGTCTAAATAATGAAACAAGGTCGCACGATTCTTCGGTTGGCATTCACTTTAAGATGATGTGGTAGCCATCGCTCGTGTTGTCTGCAAAGAGAAGAACCAGCCGAGTTTAGCTTGAATTTCTCCATTTAAACAACTAAACATGATTTTTTGTTTGTTGCAGGGAATATTTTATGTGACGGACCAACACACACAAAACAAAACAAAAGAGATCACAGCTTTCAAAATATAACAAAAATCTCAAAAGTGTTGAATGCATTTGTAGTTGCAGTGGGCGATATTACAAAAACCAATAATATCATAAACGATATTCCACATTTTCTGTTTTTTTTGTTTTTTTCTTTTTCTGTTCCTTGATTTGGCCCAAAAAATATGTAAATTCAAAACAGAGTTCTCTTAAGGACAATAGAATAAAAAAATATATTCATATATAAATATATACAAAATCACAATTCATTTAGTGCGTCAAAGAAAATGCTAAATATAATAGAATATAGTTTGTCACTGTATGTATGTACAATGATATTAAAGCCAGCTGTGCAAACAATGTAGGAAAATATATATAACATAAACATAAATAAAATAATCTCTCTTAGGCCTTTTTGTGCTGGTCTATCACATAAAAACAAGCAGCAGTTTGTCAGAGAAATTGTGAAAAATTCACATCTGCAAAACAAATTAAGCAATAAACCATCAAAATTTAGAAATCAATTACCTTTCATTGTGTCCAAAACAAAACAAACTTCATCCTGGAAGTTCTGAATCATCTATTAAGAGCAGAGGATATTTATTTATTGCAGGAGGAAAAGTTTGTTGTGATTAATATGTGTTATTTTGTTTTATGTGGTATTTTTTACCTCATCGCTGACCAGCACATGGATACCAGTGGGTCCCTGTTTAAAGATCTGATTTATCTGTCTGGGTGAGATGTTGAAGAGCTGAGCCAGTTTCTCTGTGAGTTCGGTGGCGGTGAGTTCCTCCAGGTAAATGGCGTGATATACTGCAGGTAAAAGCAATCAGAAACAGACGAGAAATACGATTTGAACGCTCAATTTATTTAAAAAAAATACGTTCAGAAACATTTTACTACATTAAAACATTGGGATTAAATGTAGATTTATGTACAGATTAAATAAATGAAAAACTTTTGTTCAACAAAACAGACAGAAAAAGGTTTCCCCATCCTTCCTGATGTGTCTTTTCATTGCTATTTCTATACTAGTTTTTTCAGAATTATGCAATTTTGTCTCGTTTGGAAAGGTTAAAAATGACAGAAAATAAACTAAATAAACTGTTATGTTGTCATTGCACTCCATAAAATAACACATTTTCCAGAGATCATTGGTTGAGAGGCAACAAACTGTGTCAATGTGGCTAAAGTTAGAAAATTGTTTTTCTTTACGTTTTTCTTAACTTTTGGAGAAAAACTTAGAAAAAAAAACCCTGATATAACATCAGACAATTCCTCAAGCTAACAGATGTATTAGTTGTAATTAATTCATATTTTATGTTTCAGCATGTACTCACCAAAGAAAGTGCTGGCAGCAGCATCTCCATTTTCATGTTTTGGTTGGTGGTCCCGCGCCTGCTGCGACTCTTGGCAGACGTAGATGGTCAACCGCGGGCGGACCACCCTGCAAACACAAGGAAGCAACAGTATTTTTTAAACAAATACAATTTGGTTAACTGTGGAAGTTAGTCTTGGATGACACAGAGTGAAAATAGTTAAATAAAATGAAGAGAACAACTTTTAAAGAGACTCACCGTCCCTTTAGTGCGTTGAAGAGTCTTATCCCGTCTGCTGGGCCACAAATCTGGATAACGTCCTCTCTGGTTAGCTTCAGCAGGTCGGCTCCTGCAAAATTATTACATGCAAAAACCACAAATCCGTTAAGGTCTGATAACTTCCCGTCCAGCCAAAGAAAAGCGAAAAAGAACAAAGCGAGCAAAGAAATCAGAGGTCATAGGAATGCTGCATCTCTTTATCTTTTACCCCCACAATAAACCAATTTCAAACAAGAGCTTCAATTTGATTTGATTTATTCATTTCAAACAGGATTAAAAAGAGAAAAGGGACAGAAAAAACAAAATAATTAGCTTACCACTACTTCTCTGTTTGAAAAAGAGTAGGAAGAAGTGATCACTTCACTCACTTTAACGAAATATATCACTTAGCGACTCAATAATTATCAATAATTTATCATTAAAATCGTGTTATAATATCAGTTGCCTGTTCAATATACTGGGCTAGAGAGCCAACAAATTAATTATATTACATAGAGAAACTAACTCATAACCATCAAGAAAATCTACAGATAATAATAATAGACTGAAAGACTATTTTCTAAAATCTGATCATACCTGAGAAGTTGGTGAAGAGTCGACAGAAAGGTGAGAAGCGGTTTCTATGGAGCCACTGCTGCGCGTCTTGTGGTGTTGCCGTGGGCAACAAGTTCTAAAACAGAAAGAAAACAACTATAAACAACTAGTAAGGAGGCAACCTTGGCTTTTAAACCACCAATTACTACTAGTAATACCATGTTTATTAAAGAATATGAG